ACACTGTTAATTCACTAAACGAATCGGGGGGGGCCACGCCTTAGATATTTATAGCGTTTGGGTCTGTGAGCATTGAGGCTCTCTTAGCAGACTCTGCACCCACCTTTCTTTCCGGGTCCGCAGGGAAGTTTTAGGGGGCTCGACTGCAGCCGCAGCTGCCCCCCAAAATCTGTGGGTTCACCCTCCCTGCCCCCCAAAAGCTGTTTCAGTTTTTCAGCTCTGCTCCAGCAAGCATCTGAAGTGTGTTGGGTGCATCTGAGCATGCACAGAGTTCATTTACCTAGCCTTCCCACAGCTTGACTGCAGTTGGAGAGGAGTGGGCCAATATATCAATGTCTGAAGTTATTTTATCCAATCATTGCCACCTAATTTCTGGCGTTTGGACTGTTCCTCCTATTAGCTAAGTTTTAATTTATATAATATAATTTATATATATTTTTAATATTATATATATTTTAATATATATATTTTTAACTGTTGCTATAATAAAGACATCTACTTCTGCTTCATTGACTATGCAAAAGCCTTTGACTGTGTCGACCACAGCAAACTATGGCAAGTTCTTAAAGAAATGGGAGTGCCTGATCACCTCATCTGTCTGCTGAGAAATCTCTATGTGGGACAAGAAGCTGCAGTTAGAACTGGATATGGAACAACTGATTGGTTCAAAATTGGGAAAGGAGTACGGCAAGGCTGTATATTGTCTCCCTGCTTATTTAACTTATATGCAGAATTCATCATGCGAACGGCTGGGCTGGATGAATCCCTAGCCAGAATTAAGATTGCCGGAAAAAATATCAACATCCTCAGAGATGCAGATGACACAACCTTGATGGCAGAAAGTAAGGAGGAATTAAAGAACCTTTTAATGAGGGTGAAAGAGGAGAGCGCAAAATATGGTTTGAAGCTCAACATCAAAAAAACTAAGATCATGGCCACTGGGCCCATCACCTCCTGGCAAATAGAAGGGGAAGAAATGGAGGCAGTGAGGGATTTTACTTTCTTGGGTTCCATGATCACTGCAGATGGTGAGAGCAGTCACAAAATTAAAAGACGCCTGCTTCTTGGGAGAAAAGCAATGACAAACCTAGACAGCATCTTAAAAAGCAGAGACATCACCTTGCCAACAAAGGTCCGTATAGTTAAAGCTCTGGTTTTCCCAGTAGTGGTGTATGGAAGTGAGAGCTGGACCATCAAAAAGGCTGATCGCCAAAGAATAGATGCTTTTGAATTCTGGTGCTGGAGGAGACTCTTGAGAGTCCCATGGACTGCAAGAAGATCAAACCTCTCCATTCTGAAGGAAACCAGCCCTGAGTGCTCACTGGAAGGACAGATCCTGAAGCTGAGGCTCCAAGACTTTGGCCACCTCATGAGAAGAGAAGACTCCCTGGAAAAGACCCTGAGGTTGGGAAAAATGGAGGGCCCAAGGAGAAGGGGGTGACAGAGGACGAGATGGTGGGACAGTGTTCTCGAAGCTGCCAGCATGAGTTTGGCCAAACTGCGGGAGGCAGTAGAAGACAGGAGTGCCTGGCGTGCTCTGGTCCAGGGGGTCACGAAGAGGCGGACACAACTAAACGACTCAACAACAACAACAACAACATATCTGTATTGTCCCTGTTATACCTAATTACAAATTCAAATTTTTCCGTATCGTGTTTTATGACTTCCTTGATATTGTATGTGGGCTGGAACTGGTCTGTGAATTTGGTGTGGGGCCATTTGGGCTGAAGACCCCCCCCCCGCAGTTGTTTTTAAAAATGCAAATAGGAGTCCTTCCTCCAAAATAAGGAGAGAATCGTTTTTTTAAAAAAAAAAACAACCACAGATTTTTAAAGCTACAAAAAATCTCTGTTGAATTTGGTGTGGCAACTATTGGTGAAATTTGGGGTGGGAGGTTGCAATGGTTTTTATTTTTAAGTATAGATAACTCATTCCTCCAAAATAAATGGGGAGGGGAATTTTTAAAAAAGAAGACAGATTTTGGAACCCTTTCCTTTCTCCTTTTGTGACGGAACTCCTATTTGGGGACTTCCCTGGCTTTTTTCTGGCCCACGTAGGATCAGTCTGGATAGTTAGCCTTGGTGAAGACTTGACATTTTCATCCCCCAAAAAGTTTTTGATTTGAGTTTCCATTGAAATGAGGCTGTATTTTAATGTTTTAATGTTGTATTTTAATCTTGTTTTTAAGTTGTATTTCAATCAGTTGGTTTTTATATCGGGTGTTAGCCGCCCTGAAATGGTCTAGGCTGGGGAGGGCGGGGTATAAATAAAATTTATTATTATTATTAACCCTCCTCTTTCCTGCTTTCTTCCAGGGCCTGCCAAAGGGAAGCATGTTTCGCTCCTAGGACCCGCCTCCCTCGCTTCTCCTCTCCTCCTGGGAAAGTTCTGAGAATGATCCTTCCCTTCCTCCAGCCTGCCCTTTTATTCTTCCTGGCGTCTGCGACTTCCTTCCCTAAGGATTTGACTCCACTCAGCACCGTCAGCGGGGCAGGTGAGTCTGCAGCCTGCTTTCAAACTATTTGCACAGTGAAACCAGGGCAGGCAGGTATTCAACAGGTGTTGCTTCCCTGATCCTCCCTGGAATGGGGGGAATGGAGGGTGGGAAAACAATCGGCTCTGTTTGAAGGTGCGTCTCCTAAGGAAGGAAGAAGGTAGCAGTCTTTCTAACAGGCAGACAGGTATTCAACAGGTATTGCTTCTCCCATCCTCCCTTGACCGGAGGGATTGGGGGTTGGGAAAACAATCAGCTCTGTTTGAAGGTGCGTCTCCTAAGGAAGGAAGCAGTCTTTCTAACAGGCGGACAGGTATTCAACAGGTGTTGCTTCCCCCATCCTCTGTCGACTGGAGAGAATGGAGGGCAGGGGGGAGAACTGGCCCCAAAGATGCTTTTCCTGCAGAAGGAGGCATTTTCTTTTCTAATAGGGCATTCTTTCTCTCCTCGCCCACCAGGAACATCCCAGTATCCTGTTTTCCGTGGCCTCGCAGGGGACAATGACACTACCGAGCTAGGCCTGGATTTCCAGAGCATGCTGAGACTCAACCAAACCCTTTTCATTGCCGCGCGGTAAGTGGCGGAGCGGGGAAGATGGTGTTGGCGGCCATTTTGTTTGCGTTTCCTTTTTTTATTTTATTTTATTCATTTTTCATTAATTACATACATCTCAAATCCTTAACAGTTACTATATATTCCTCCCTCCCTCCCCTCCAAGACTTGTGTTTCTGGTTTGTTTCTATTCTCACCCGCTTTGCTATCTCTCAACAGAAAAAGTTATTAATCACATAACATCACACCTTAAAAACATAAAAATAAAATTAAATACACCATCATTTTCACTATCTTCCAAACATTTTCTGATGCTGATAATGTGGATGTTTATTTAAATCCTGCCATCAAGTCTATTGCCTTATATTCTGCAAATATAGTATGAATGGTTCCCAATCTTTCTCAAAGGCTCTGTTGTCTTTCTCTCTTAGTCTTTCTGTCATTTTTGCCAGTTCTGCATCTCTTGCCATTGTTCTTTCGTTGGTATTTCTCCAGTCTTCCAATTTTGTGCAATCAACATTCTTGCTGCTGTAGTGACATACACAAATAAAGTCCTCATTTCTTTTGGTATGTCTTGACCTAAATTACCTAATAAAAAGGCTTCTGGTTTTTTTTACAAGTTATTTTTAACATTTTCTTCAATTCATTGTATATCATTTCCCAGTAGGATTTTACCTTCTTACAATCCCACCACATATGATAGAACGGAGCTTCTTTTTCACATCTCCAACACTCTTTTTTTCCTTCTGTTTGCGTTTCCAACGTTTGGGGTCCTGGGATCTGGTCTGAGCTAGGATCTTGCCCTTTGATGCTGAGAAAAAGCCATGGACCAGCAGAAGCTGTAATAAAGTCAGGATACAGAGATTCCAAGATGGAGGCCTACCGGATCCCAGACTGTTCAAATGCAAAGTGGCTCTCACCTTTTACCTTCCTCAGCAGTGCTTGAGTTGTACAAGGGTGGAAATTATTTATCTCTTTCTCTTTTCTCTCCTTACCACCCTGCCGGCCATCAGAGACCACGTCTATGCCTTTGATCTCCGACGGACCAAAGACGACTTCTCTCCAAAAAGGGTGAGTTGTTGTTTTTTAACCCAATGGCTTTAAGACCTGGTTGTGCTACCTGTTGTTGTTTAGAGGTTTAGTCGTGTCCGCCTCTTTGTGACCCCCTGGACCAGAGCACGCCAGGCACTCCTGTCTTCCACTGCCTCCCGCAGTTTGGCCAAACTCATGCTGGTAGCTTCGAGAACACTGTCCCACCATCTCCTCCTCTGCCGTCCCCTTCTCCTTGTGCCCTCCATCTTTCCCAACATCAGGGTCTTTTCCAGGGAGACTTCTCTTCTCATGAGGTAGCCAAAGTCTTGGAGCCTCAGCTTCAGGATTTGTCCTTCCAGTGAGCACTCAGGGCTGATTTCCTTCAGAATGGAGAGGTTTGATCTTCTTGCAGTCCATGGGACTCTCCAGAGTCTCCTCCAGCACCAGAATTCAAAAGCATCAATTCTTTGGCGATCAGCCTTCTTTATACTCCAGCTACCTAGAACCTAGTTGTGCTATCTAGAACCTGCCATTGTTGCTATGAGGAACCTAGACCACATTCTCAGTGGGATCTTTTGTGTGTTGCCTCGTCCCGCTCTTTCACTGAGAAGAGCATACTACCTAGAAAGAATTCTGCGAAATGTCTGCAACGTTGAAAACCAGTCCCTTGCCTTGCTTGTTCTAGATCATGTATCACCTAGAACACGATTTCACCACCCTCTAACCATTGCCCTGTTCTGATTTCTCTTTCCTCCACTGCACCCTCAGCACCTCACATGGAAGACGCAAGACATGGAAAACTGTGCGATGAGAGGAAAGCTCCGGGTAAGAACCGCAAGGGTCTCGGTTCTAGGATCTGTATTCGTTTCTGCGTCCTGATTATCCTTGCGACTGACAGTGGCATTTGCCTGTGTGAGGTGGGAAAGCTCAGTGGGTAGAGCATGAGATGCTTCATCTCTGGGTCGTGGGTTCGAGCCCCACATGGTGTGAAAGAAATCTGCACTGAAGTAATTATTATTATTATTATTATTATTATTATTTATTATTTATACCCCGCCCATCTGGCTGAGTTTCCCCAGCCACTCTGGGCGGCTCCCAATCATTTATTAAAAACAGTACAGCGTTAAATATTAAAAACTTCCCTAAACAGGGCTGCCTTAAGGTGTCTTCTGAATGTCAGATAGTTGTTTATCTCTTTGCCATCTGGTGGGAGGGCGTTCCACAGGGCGGGCACCACCACCGAGAAGGCCCTCTGCCTGGTTCCCTGTAGCTTAGCTTCTCGCAGGGAGGGAACCGCCAGAAGGCCCTCGGAGCTGGACCTGTGTCCGAGTAGAATGATGGGGGTGGAGACGCTCCTTCAGGTATACTGGACCGAGGCCGTTTAGGGCTTTAAAGGACAGCACAACACTTTGAATTGTGCTCAGAAACGTACCGGGAGCCAATGCAGATCTCTCAGGAGCGGTGTTATGTGGTCCCAGCGGCCGCTCCCAGTCCCCAGTCTAGCTGCCGCATTCTGGATTAATTGCAGTTTCCAGGTCACCTTCAAAGGTAGCCCCACGTAGAGTGCGTTGCAGTAGTCCAAGCGGGAGATAACCAGAGCATGCACCACTCTGATGAGGCAGTCTGCGGGCAGGGAGGGTCTCATCCTGCGTACCAGGTGGAGCTGGTAGACAGCTGCCCTGGACACAGAATTGATCTGCGCCTCCATGGAGAGCTGCGAGTCCAAAATGACTCCCAGGCTGCGCACCTGGTCCTTCAGGGGCACAGTTACCCCACTCAGGACCAGGGAGTCTTCCACACCCGCCCTCCCCCTGTCCCCCCAAAATAGTACTTCTGTCTTGTCAGGATTCAACCTCAATCTGTTAGCCGCCATCCATCCTCCAACCGCCTCCAGGCACTCCAGGCACTGAAGGGGGTTGCAACTCTATGGTTCTATTATTCTATTATTTTATTTACTTATTTATTAAATATACCTGCAGGTCGCAGGGCAGTTACAACATAAAATCACAATATGAAAATAAAAAATTATTTTAAGTCTTCCCCCAACTCTGGGGTAAGTCCTTGATCTTTCTCGCTCTGCCCCGATTCCAGAATGAATGTTACAACTACATCAAAGTCTTGGTTCAGAAGAATGAAGAAACCCTCTTGGCCTGTGGGACAAACGCCTTCAACCCCATGTGCCGGACCTACAAGGTAGGAAGCTGGTTTGGGACCAGTTGATGGATTGGTCGGGAACCGTAACCCCACGGGGGCCAAATGCAGCCACCTGTCTCTGCTCCAAAGAACTCTCCTTAGCCACGCCTCTAGCCACGCCCCCTGTCCCCAAGCCACGCCCCTCCACTGACCTTGAGCCACCCCCTCCCAGAGTGTTTTTGACCAGCTGGATAATATCTGATAATGCCTCTTGCTTTTCTGAATGGAGAAGGGGAGGTGAGAGGGTGACAAAAGTAGCCCCTATTTTATTTTATTTTATTTTATTGTTTTTTAATTTAATTTATTTATTTTTGTTTTGTTTAGTTTTCTAATGTAACGTAATATAATTGTTTTATTGTTTAGTTTTTAAATTTAACTATTTTTGTTTTGTTTTTTAATTTATTTGTTTTGCTTTGTTTTATTGTTTAGTTTTTTATTTTAATTATTTTATTTTATTACACTGTCATGGGCTTATTTAACCACCTTCTTAACAAACCACCTCGAGGCAACTGACGTATAAGATTACTAAAAGGGGCAACAACAAATAGGTTTAAGACAAGATGGAAACCCTACCTGCCATACAACAAGGAGATTTGCCTTTCCGAAATTTACACCGGTGAAATTTGCAAATGCATTTGCACGTGCGAAATTTGCATGTGTTTTGTCTCGCCCCCTTTGGCCCCGCCTACCTCTGGCATGTGGCCCTCAGCGGTCATTGCGGCCCTTGCGCTAAGGAAGAGTCCTCACCCGCAAAGGGAGACACCTTCCTGTCGCAAATTGGGTGGAATCATGCTGGGACGTTGTGGCACTGCGCAACCGAGCGTGTGGCTTAGGGTGTCAGCCTTTGACTAAATTCACCCCAATTTCCGTGGCCCCCAGATCAGCAACTTGGAGCAGGAAGGGGAGGAGCTGAACGGACAAGCGCGGTGTCCCTTTGACGCAAAGCAGAACAACGTGGCGCTTTTCGCAGGTACATCTTTGAAACTTGTGCGGTGCGTTTCAGGGTGTGTGTTTTTGTACCTGGACTAGTAAAGGTAAAGGTAAAGGTAAAGGGACCCCTGACCATTAGGTCCAGTCGTGGCCGACTCTGGGGTTGCGGCGCTCATCTCGCTTTACTGGCCAAGGGAGCCGGCGTACAGCTTCTGGGTCATGTGGCCAGCAGGACTAAGCCGCTTCTGGCGAACCGGAGCAGCGCACGGAAACGCCGTTTACCTTCCCGCCGGAGCGGTACCTATTTATCTACTTGGACTTTGACGTGCTTTCGAACTGCTAGGTTGGCAGGAGCTGGGACCGAGCAACAGGAGCTCACCCCGTGGCAGGGATTCGAACCGTCGACCTTCTGATCGGCAAGTCCTAGGCTCTGTGGTTTAACCCACAGCACCACCAGCGTCCCACCTGGACTACAGGTCTCCAGCTTCGAGCCAGTGTGGTGTCGTGGTTCGAGTGTACAGTGGACACTCGGGTTGCGGACGTGATCCATGCAGGATGCACGTTCACAACCCGCAGCGTTCGCAACCTGCGTCTGTGCATTCTTGGGTTGCGATTCGGTGCTTCTGTGCATGCGCAAAGCACGATTTAGTGCTTATGCACATGCGCGACCGTCGAAACCCAGAAGTAACCTATTCCAGTACTTCTGGGTTTCGGTGGTCTGTAACCTGAAAAAACGCAACCTGAAGGGTCTGTAACCCGAGGTATGACTGTATATGACAAGGACGCAGGAGAGACCAGGGTTCAAATCATGAAGCTCAATGTGGTGACCTATACCACAGGGTTGTTGTGAGGGTGAAGAGGACAGAGAGATAACCATGTGCGCCACTTTGAGCTCCTTGAAGAAAAAGGTGGGATGGAATATTTAAGAGTTCATCCTTGGGATCTTAGCCTTGCCTGAAAGTTGCTGAGTGAGTTATGGTTTCCCCCCTAAATCAGGCAGGGAACCTCCAGCCCAGCGGCTAAATTTGACCCGCCGGACTTCCACATCTGGCTAGTGAGGGGCCCTGGGAAGCATTGTGCAAAGATCTCTGCAAATTTCTACGGAAGGAAAAAAATGTATAAGAAATATGCAATTGTGCGGTATAAAGTAATGGATGGATAAAGAAAAGTGAGATTAAGTGGAAGTCATTTTTAGTTTTCTTCTCTATAAGTTTTATAATTGCTTTCAGTACCAGGAGTATATACGATGACAGTTATATTAATCTTGTTGTATCTTATAGTGTGGTGGTTGGTCTGATTCTTCTGTTATTTGTTTGTTTGTTTGTTTGTTTGTATGTTTGTTTACTTGTTTATCCATCTGTTTTTTCATAAATGTATTTATTTTAAGTCAATAAAGATATATATTTTTTAAAAAGGGAAAAGATGCTCAATTTGAATACAAGCTGCTTTTTCTGTGGAGGGGAAAACACTCCATTTTTAGCGACCTCTTTTTGTGCTTTGACAGGTGTCAATCACCTGGCACATCGTTCTGATGGCAGGTGACGGACAGGGGTGGTGGTCCCACCTACCTATCAAAGTTGTTCCGTGGTGGGGTGTGGGGTGTAGGGTAAAATATCTGGCCCGGCAGGCCAAAAAGATTCCCTAAAAGCAAGATTCTAGTCCTCACGGTTTGGAATAAAAGTCTCCTTCCCATCCTGAAAAAAACCATTACATTGACATGATGTTCAAGCAGCTCAAGGTGGCGAATGGTAATGGACCATCCGAACGAAAGCTCTCTCTATGCTGCAACACTCGGTTGCAGCTCCCGCTTGGTCCCATGCTTGTGATGTTGCGTGCCTTTGAACGTCTTTGCTGAAGTTCCCGCTTCTGTTTTGATATTATGAAAGAAGTTAATAACACTAGTTAATAACTCAGGGTTTTGGCACAGTTGAATGCAGCCTCATGGGAAATTTGGGGGTGTGACCCCTCCCTCTTTTTCCTCTCCTTCACAGAAGGAAATCTCTATTCCGCCACGGTGGCAGACTTCCAGGCCAGCGACACCGTCATCTACCGAAGTCTGGGCGAGAGGAGTCCGGTGCTGAGGACCGTCAAATATGACTCCAAGTGGCTGAGAGGTGAGGGGGTGTGTGCAGCGGGAACTGTTGATGGCGGAGTGTGACCAACAGATGCGATTCACGAGTCCTCTTTTTCCGCCACGTTCCGGAGACGGCGAAAGGGGGAGCGAGTTCGGGTGACGGGGAAGAGCTCGATTCGGTTCGCCAACGGAAGGGGAACCGACCCAACTTACGCTTTCCGAAGCGGTCCGCCAACCGGAAGGCCCAAAACCCCAAATTTTGCAGTGCGGTTCTCCGGCAGAAATGCGTCTGTGAGGGGAACGTGCGCCGCTAAGCGCATATGCGGGGAGATGGCGCGGTGGAGGGGGAAATGAACGAAGTCTCCTGTGGGAAGAATGGGGGAAACTGCTCAATTTCTGCTCCCTTTCCTTGATAAATGAAATGGCGTCGGGCGGGACGGCCCGGCGCTGCTGAGAAATCGCCAGGCGCCCACGTTTTAAAAAACAACTTCTCCCCCTCCAGAACCACATTTCCTGCATGCTCTCGAGTACGGCAATTACGTCTATTTCTTCTTCCGGGAGATCTCCATGGAATACACCACCTTGGGACGGGTGAGTATTCAAGATGGTGGACAGTGCGCATGAGTTTTCTGGGGTAACCAAGATGGCGGACTGCGCGCATGAGTTTTCTGGGGTATCCAAGATGGCGGACAGTGCGCATGAGTTTTCTGGGGTATCCAAGATGGCGGACAGTGCGCATGAGTTTTCTGGGGTATCCAAGATGGCAGACAGCGCGCATGAGTTTTCTGGGGT